GTACTGGTTATTGAATTTAAAAGTCTTAAATGTTGAATTTAATAATAATATTAAGCTAACTTTAATTAGATAGTAAATATTATTTAATTTACTAAATTAACTTATATTCTTTAGTAATAAAATATGAGAAAGTTTAATTAAATATATTTAGACTTATAAAATGAAAAATTTTACTGTAACACCCTTGTTCGTGCTTATACTATGAACTGTATTGGTAATGCTCTTAAATTTCTTATCATTTAATTGAATAATATTAGTACAGATCCGTTATATGAATTAAAAGTTAATATTTCAAAAATGCCTCATATCACTGTACAAATTACATCAAATTGATTGCTTCATTAATAACATGATTATGTGATAAGAAAATTGTGAACAAACAGATTAAATAAACATAAATGGTTGAGCAAGGTAATATTCTAGCACAGAATACAGTATAGGAGTGTTGCTATGTATGCTGCAATACTTTTAGCGCACTTTCGTTTGAATGCATTGTCTGCCAATAACATTGAGAAATACAATGAACACACATCTGACAGCCGTATGTCATATGAAAACAGTTGCAGTCTATTAGATAGCAAATTATACTACACTTCCTAATAAAGTCCATCCAAATTGAGTGTACAATTGATATGCGGATGATATTGTATATCAATAATTAGTATAACTGTTTGATTGCTGTGAATATTGACTCAAACGCTGAGGTCCTATGAAAACAAAAGTTCATTCAATAATCAGTTGTCGTTATCGCTGTTTACGTCTTCAATACTAATTGATATTTCTTTATCATTAAAATTATCGGTAAAAACCAGATCCACAGCGTATGGCCTTCACTGTAGAGAAAGCTCTGTCATTGGGGAACAGTCTCTTAGTCTGTCTCCAACACCAGTCCCTCTGAATCCCTCTGAATACCAGTCCTATCGACACGTTTGCAAACTTTTTCTGCAGCGAAAACTTTTTAGACTTAAAAATTGTTTTCGTTTCTGACGGAGAGATCACACGATTTGTCTGTGATTTGATGTGATTTTCGTGTCAACACATCCCTCCTCTGAACACAATATCCCTTCTCTTTATTAATGATTACTTTACGTCACTTCACATCAGTCTCGCGAAGTCTCCCAAACCTACTCCTCCGCCAAAGAAGTCAACGCATTATACGTTTGGTTCACTCAACACAAGTGGTTAACATGTCTTCAACGAAGTGGTATATGAATCAAACGCTGGATGAAAGCGATCCCCAGCTCTTCCAACTGATCCGGGATGAGAAGAGGCGCCAGAAGCGCGGTCTTGAAATGATTGCCTCCGAGAACTTTACCAGTCTTTCGGTGCTCCAGAGTCTCAGCTCTTGTCTCCATAATAAGTACTCCGAAGGATATCCCGGACAGAGGTATGTCTTCGTGCGGTCTTTACAGTCAAATGTATCTTAATTTAGACTTTGAACTCCAGTCTAGAGAGCCTTCGAGTGATATATGAGATAATTATTTGTCTAATATTTCATAAGATTTTCTCAATCAATAACTATAAGACGGCTATTGAATGAATGCATTGAATATATTT